CACCGTATCCGGAGGGAAAGCTGTGTTGCTGGAGTCCGCTGGTTCCCTGTGCGGCATCCCTTTGGGTGGGGATTGCAAACGGCCGCTGGGCAAGATGGAAAAAGTTGGAGAAAGAGATGGCGGTGGGGCATGAGAGTCCCCCAACACCTCCAGGCTCCGAGTGGGGCAGGCGGCATCACGGGCTGCCTCCACAGCGCACGTTGCCTGGGTGGTGCTGGTCTCCACCGGACTGGTACGGCCGTAGGTGCTGAGCAGGGAAGGAGAGGAGGTCTGCACCGGCTCTTCCTGCTGCAAGCCCTTGGCAGAGTCCTGGCTGCACGGTTCCTCAGCAGCCACGTCTTCCTGGGTCTTCAGCGAAAGGTCACGTTCAAAGGTCTTCTCTGGTAAGAGAAAAGGCATCATCAGCTTGGGCAGGGGGCTGGTGGTGGGACCTGACCCCCAGCACATCAGGTCGGGCAGGAGAGCATCGGAGCTGGAATGATGCGGGCAAGGGGAATGATACAGCACAGCAAGGCAGGGTCCAGGAGGAGCCGGCCACCCAGAGAGAGGAGAGGGGTTGTCTCCTTGCCTGGGGCATGGGGACTCACCGTCCGAAGAGTTGAGGGTCAAGGATAGCGGGGGAAGCCTGTTCCAGGGGTTGTCCAGGGATCCCTCCGAGCTCTCCGACAAGGCTGTCAACTCTACAGCTGCAATGATCAAGTCGGGGCGTTGATTTTGGCAAAGGTGCCAGCTGCCCGCTCCCAAGCTCCAGCCAGACTCCTTCTGCGACCTCAGCCAGCCCCTGTAGCACGCAGCGGAGAGGCAGACGCTGCCCAGAGAGCAGGCAGGTGGGAGGAAGACCTTCTCCTACACCCTGCGCTGTCCAGGACAGCAGCTCCCTTCTGCTCCTCCTCTACGTGGAACTCCTGCAGGTACTTCTGCAGTAAAGCTCGGTGACACCAAGCCCAGTGAGGTGACACGAGCCTGTCCCAGTGCTGAAACACAACCAGCCAAGAGCCCACGCTGAGGGAGAAGGCTCAGGCTCCGTGATGGCATCAAAGGGACAAAATCACTTGTTCTGCTCCCAGCACGATGAACCGAAGCTGCTCAGCTTCAGGGGGCTGCAGGAATGGGACCATTCCCTGCCTGCTCAAGGCAGGGCTGGAGTCCCGGTCTCCCAAAGACTGGCCACACCAGTACCTTCTCCGCTCAATCCAAGGAGAAGATGAGCTGAGTCAACTGCAGAGGAAACTACTAAGAAGCTGGATGGGATCTGGAGGTCCCGCTACTCACGGCTGGAGGTGAATGTGACACACGAATCACCTGGCACCGTCCTGCCATCGCTGCTCTTCCCGGGAGTTGCTTCACTTGTGTCTGCAATGAAAGGGACTCTGCTGGTCACGTCCCAGCACAGCCAGAGCAAAGGAAGTCTTCTCCCCGCCCCAAGTAGACCCTTATTTTGCATGCTTGGGCACTGACCTGCCTTGAAAGCATTGCAAGCAATTGCCTCCTCCTCAGGAGGGATCACCAGGGCGTTGGCCGGGACCACGAAGACATCCTCACCTCGCTGAAATGACACGTTACGTGGCTTTTTGCTGGGCAGTTCCAGTCGAGCTGCAGGAGCTCACCCAGAGGTGGTAGCTGAACACCCACCTCTCTCCACCACTCTTCCCCTTCCTTCTCCCACCCCTCCAGCGCAGGGTTCCCACCAGGAGCTGTCGCAGCAGCTGGACTGACCTCTTTCTTGCGCTCTGCCTCCCACTGGGTCACAGGAACCTCGTCCTTCACCGTCGCTGGCGCCTCCTCGGGCACCTGTAAATCCAAGCATTCCTCCGCGTTTTCCTTCAAAACCTCCAGCTGGTTCTGTCCTATGGCATCGATCAGCTGAGAGATGGACGGCTCTGGAGCGAGAGCACAGGAGTGTCAGTGGAGAAGACACCGTAAGGCAGGCAAGCCTCGCTCACAAACGCTTTTACTCTGCTGCATGACTGTCACATGCACTGAAACCCATGGAAACGCACAAAATTCTGCATTTCCTCTGCTTCTAGAAACTGTATCTTTCCTTTCTCTGCACAGCTCCTGGACCAGCGGCGTGAGCACGGGCACGCGATGGCCCACGCTGCTCTAGCTGTCAGCACCACCTTGTTCTGCTTTGGCCTTAACAACGTTGCCTGGTGAGATCTGGTCACGTTTGCGCTACCCCTGCCTAACACAGACCAAGCTCGGGACAGCCAGGAGCCCACCAGGCAGCCAAAGTCATCGTGTGCCCCTTCACAAGCCTTTACCTGAGCTGGGAGCGTTCTTCAGAGCGAGACTCCTCCTGCAAAGACCAAGGAGAAGACAAAGCCAGGTTAGGGCTGGAGCACACGCAGGCCAGCAGCCCTTTGCAGCTCTCGGTCACGGAACGAGCATCCTGGCTTGGGAAGAAGCGGCTTGTGCAAGGAGTGGATTCCCTGCTGGGTGCCGGATCCAGTCACTGCTCAGTATCCCAGGAACACCCACCAGAGAGCCCTCGTCCTGGAGATTGACCCATGGGGAGCCTCCTGAGGATCTCCAGAGCTGGGGCTCCAAGTGCGGAGCAAAGAATGAGCTGTGCAGGGCTTCACCCACCCACCCACGTGGCCCACAGTGGGAAGAAGGGAGATTCCCATGGTTGTTTGCCCCCAGCTCTGCCAGCTCAGAGGACAAGGCTGGGCTGGAGAACCCTCCGTGTCACCAGGATCTCGCTTTGCATGGTCTACTCAGCTGTCACGTCCTGGGGCAGGGAGTCCCACAGGTTTACCAGGAGCTGCATAACCTGTGCCGGCCCTTGCCAGCCGGCTCCAGCCCCGCTCGGAGCCTGCATGCTCTCGTCGTGGTGTCTGGATGTGTCCCTCAGCCATAGCCAGCCCCATAAAAAATCCTTTATCTTCTGCAGCACAGAGGGCTCCTGGTTCCTGCAGCAAGAGAGAAGCCAGTTACCTTCCGTGTCCCCACCTTCCTTCACGGCTCGCAATGGAGACAATTCCTCTTTCCAAAAGCAAAAAGGCCCCACCCCAACCAGCTCACACCAGGGCTCCCAGGGTCAGTGCTGCTCTGGGGAGATAAGAAGCTCCCCCAACCCTCCCCACGGGCCATACCCGTCGGATGACTCCAACCTCTGCCTTTCCATGGGCAGCACGATGAACCGCTGGGCCGTAAGATAAAACTCACAGTCCTCCTGCGGGGAAAAACGGAGCCCGTTAAGGCACTTCTGCAGTCCCACCTCTGCTCCCACCTCCCCCAGGGCCAGCCAGCACCCACCACAGCTCTGCCACCACCCCTCCAACCAAAGCCAGGGCCCCCCCACTCAGAGGACAACCCCCTTTGACGTGGGGTTTGTACCCTCCTACGTCAGTCAATGGCTCTTCAAGAGCCACAGGCCAGGCTGGGCCAACCCAAGGGGACACTCCTGAAGCCCTGCAAGGGGACGGCAGGCAGCTTTGCCACCAGTGCTCCAGGCAGGCCTCCTGCAGCTGCACAACAGCAGGAGGTAACAGGCAGTGGCCCTGGGGGAGATGCACCACATCTCCATGGAGGGCTCATGTCATCCCCAGCACCCAGGCCAAGCCACCGTCACTGCCACAGACCCTCCTAGGAGCTGCACGTGGAAGAAGAAGGAAGAAAGGCCACCCCTCATCTGCCTCCAGCTCCTGGGAGCAGCTCAAAGCAGCAGGTAAGCATGGTAAGGTTAAGGAAGGAGTTGCTTCTGCTCAGCAGAGCACTTACCAGCCTGGCCTCCTCCCGGAAACACACCGTGTACTTCTGCAAGACGATAATTCTGCAAATGAGGCTGGAAAGCCTGAGCTGCATGTGGGTGCTAGAAAAAGAGCAGAGCAGGAACGTCTTGGAGAGATGACGAATGGAGATGGACCACCCAGACACGTAGTGAGGCTCCCCAAATAGCTACGCCAGTCACATCGGGGCACGCAGGCACGCCTCTGGGCACGAGCATCAGGGACCGAGGGCTCCCGGCTCCTGCAAAACTGCTTATCTTTGGCTCTGCCAACAGCACCCCACCAGTCTAGGGGTGTCCAAACGGGGAAACTGAGGAAAGCACTAAAGGAGCAGCCCAGGCTACCACAGTTAATGCTCTGGCTCCTTTTGCTAAGACCATGGGCTCTTTAGTCCTTTCTAATCACATCTATGTGGCATGACAGCTTCCACCATCCACCCCTGCCCATCCTGGCCAGCCGAAACCGGAGCACCGAGCGTCGGCGCTCCGGCTTTCTTCTCTTAGCAGCTCTTTCATGCAGCCTTCCCACCCTGTGATTGCTTTAGCTTAACACAACCTGAAACAAGACCAGGCAGGAGCCCCACTAGCAGCTGTGGAGAACCGCTGTCCCAGCCACAGCCGAGTCACGGTGGAACCCACTTTTCCTCCGCATGCAGAGCTTCGGCTGTAATGACCACGCGGACGTGGTAGGACCCATCCGACACCTGTAGGACAGCATCTTGGAGGACCTCAGGTTGGCCCGGAGCAGCTGAGTCACTCAAAACCTATCAAGAGATCGGGGGCAGGGGGGGGAAAGAAAATCTCATTTACAGACTTCTCCGTGAACAAGGAAAGGACACCATGCCTGGCTGAGGGCTTGGACTCTTAGGAGAGAAGATCACCATTCACCATCAAGCCAGGTGGTAAAGCTTCCCCCAAGGCCAAGGGGTCTGGTACGTGCTCGTGTCTCCTGGCTGGACCAAAAAGGCTTCACCCCAAGACAGAATAAGGGATGTACCACTTTGTGCAAGGGAGCAATGGAAGGAAAGGCGGGAGAGGAGCCACAACCAAGCGTTATTTTTACCCAAACC